GTTCTCATCCTTTCCCCAAAAATTACCATATGTAAATTTTAGGCTATAAAGTCCTTTATATAGTCCCTTCAAATAAGTGACCTAATGGACCAAAAGCCCTATTCTTCTAACATGGCAAGCCTATAGGGTTTATTGGGCTTTCAAGCCCTTTGTTTATTCAAGTTGTCATACAACTTGAGTTAATGGGCTTGACATTCAAATCCCATTGGGCCTTGCGGCCCAAAACTAACCCGAGGTCTTTAACGAACTTATTCGTTTGATTAATTAACATATTAATTAATCCTAGCCTTAGATAAATAATTAAACCATTTAATTATTCTTACTCATCTCCGTTGTTTCTTCAAACTCTACCTTACTCGGTGAACGATCCATTAGGTTCCTTTTAGCGAGGCAGTGGGCGATTAAAACTCTTTCTAATCGATTGTGAATTGAAACTTACTTTCAATTCTCCCGTTAGTGATAATACACTTTTAGGGCTTCCACAAACCATGGTTGACGCCTAGCAGCATGTCATGGTTACCCAAGCTAATCAGAAGAGGTGGAGAACCTATTCAGTTTTAGGATTACAAATGCAATACGGTCTTTCTCTAATACAATACTCTTGACCACATTGTTTGGTTTGATAGTTTATTCATGTCTATTATCCAATGTGAGTCTTGTGCTTATATGATTACCTTGAATGTGATTTGGAACACATTCCTAAATCTCATTCATACTTTGGCCAAAGCTTCAAAATCATATCATAGAGTATTCTCCCTCAAACAGTTTGAAGGTTAGAGATCCCTTGTTGCGCATTCACTTGCCTCCATGGCTAAGTGGCTTAACCCCAACGATGCCATGGACACCCTCATGATGGAGTGACTTTGACATAATCAAAGATTAAGGACCTAACCACAAGACAACTGTGATGCCTCAGGTCAAAAGACTAATTTGCATTATCCCAACCATGAGTTCTCATGTGACATGAATATGAGAACTCTTCGTTGATCGTGTTCAGTGAACTCATTCTCTATTGAGCACCTACGTACTTGTCTTGATGTCACACACACCAATGACTCGAGACTAGTCACTCTCCCTAAGAGAAGACATAGCACGTACTGATCTTAACGGACTGTCAATGCCCAATTGACAATCCTATGATCAGGAACGTTTAGGATGTGTCAACGAAAGAATGGTCTCATGAATCTAACTTCTTTAGATCGCATTCTTCCAATCACATATTCCTTGGACTTATCGTTTAAGCATATAACATTTATATGAGACGGCTCAAACAATAATGTTTGCCCTTAATATTAAACTAGATTAGTTTAACATGTGAAATGTCCATAAAGTATCATCATATGATTGGTTTTAGGGCACATTTCCAACAGAGTGACGGCTAGGGGGGTTTGGTTTAGGGTTTATGAATGAATGGCTGAGATGGTTTTTGTATGAATGAATCAAATGGTCACGGCTTAAGGGGATTTTTGTGGCTGAAATAGTTTGATGAATGAGTGGATGGGGAATGGGAGTGACGGCTAGGGTGAGAATTAGGGAGAAAATCTGAAATGGAAGGAATGATAGAGCTAGGGTTCGGCTGCAAGGTTAAAGGCTAGGGTTAGAGTGCATGGAATGGGCCTAAATGCCCCCCTTGCACGGCAAGGATAGGGACTTGGGCTAAAACCCACGGCATTGGTTGTTAAGGGCCCTAGGGTGCGGCTGATTAAGTGGGCTAGGATTAGGGTTCACAAGGAATTAGGGTTTAGGTCATCTAAAAGCCCAAAGCCAAGAATAGAAACTCACGACAATGGAAACCTCCAAGAATAGAAACTTCCAACTTTAGAAACTTTGGTTGCCAATTCCGACTTCTTTGCTCTTCACTTTCATTTCTTCATTTCTTAAGCTCCTTTGACCTTCAACCTCGTCCATTCCTCGTGCTCCATTTGCATACACCACATTCCAGCTCAGTTTTGCTCCAAAAGCTCCAAATTGCATCATTTCATGTAATATGTCCTTTAAACCTGAAAACACATGAAAGTAGCTTAAAAGACTACTTTAACGAAGAGAACATAACAAAAATGCATAAGAACTAGCTAACTAAGGCGCATAAATATGCTCCTATCAGTAAGTCCGGGTACCCGCAGTTCATATACTTCAGGAACTGGCCTGAACTGAAAATTTCAAAGGTCTGCCTCGCCTCGCCCCGTTTCTCTTTTCTAAAATTAGTAACCGACCCGTACCCACCCCGACCCACTATTCCTATACTCGTTTACCCACCCCTAAATCGTATTCAATATGAAAGTAAGAACATCGATGATTCCACAGTAGCATGAATTACAGATTGACAAGATTCGTTGTTTGTCTATCGCTAATTTTCTAGTTTGGTTCGAAAATTCTTTAATAAAGAAGACTTCCATCTCCAAATTTAACTCAGACATAATTCACTTCGTTTTGGTTATGAAGCAGTGTCAAACCAAAATACCTAACAAACATTAGCTCTCCTTGAAAAGGAGGTGACCCAATCGCGCCTTCCAGTACGGCTACCTTCACTCTTTATGTGCTTGATTCAAGTCTTTCTAAAACATTTTATATTACTTTTGTATTAAAAAAGAAAAAACAAAACACGAAGGAAACATCTTCATCCTCGCATGGAATTTTATCATGGACAACGTTGTATGCTCAGACTCCCAAAAGTTCTTGTATTATTTTCAAGGGCTTCCAAATAAGCAGAGGATTAATGTGTTAGAAGTCTCTCCATGTCCAAAGAATACTGATGGTGTTGCGTTGTGGACCAAAAAGTATTGCCAATTGGCATCGGAAGCTTATTTACTCGTTTTTTTTTTTTTTTTTTTTTTTTCAAATTTCCTCAAAAATGTAATTTTTACGAGACCGAAACCGTGCGGAAAGAAAGAACATATGATGATGATGAAGAAGTTGGTATATGTTTCGGAAATGGATGTATATTCAACTTTAGGAATTTCAAAATTCATGCAATTCAAAATTTTCATACTCAGATTAATTTCAAATTTTCAAAATTATAAAGTTGTTTGGGCTCGACTTGCCACAGGAGAAAAACTAAGTATTTTTAAATTTTCAAATTTTCAAATTTGTAAAAGTACTTTGCAAATCGGAATTGAGCCCAGGCAAATTCCATCCCTAGTTCGAGAGGGCAGAGCTGCCCTAATCACGCAAGGCACACCCAATTTGAGAAGGTGGAGGTGCAAGTCAACTAGTCCTACTGAAGTTTCTCTACACAATGAGTATATGGTGTGTCACTTGTATCGTGTGAAAGTGGAACTCAATAAATGGTCAAGCGCTTTATTTTGCTCGGACGATTAAAATTTCTACACAAATAAAAATGGTTTCAATAAGAAAGTTCTTTGCACCCAAAAGAAACACAATGAGAACAAGTGGTCTACAACATGTTTCATAAGAGTCACGTTGTCAACCCCATTACCCAAAACATAAAAGAGACATTGCACAAAGAAAGAGAAGCTCTTCAACAGAGGATTTGAAGAGAACTGCGTAGATTTCTTCGAAGATCAAAATCCCAGCTTACTGAAACAAAAGAACTACATGAATTATCGCCATAGGTACATTGTGAATTTGTGATAGGTTGAAAATCTGCATAGGTGAGGGAAAGAGATACGTAAAGGTGTCTCCCAAAACCCTAACCTTTTCCCCATTCTCCACCACAACATGTCTTTTGATCGGCGACCACACAAGCCTATGACCACTTTCATGGTTTCCCTAACCACTCAATCCTTTTCCAGCAAAAATTTCCACAACCAAATCCCAAGTAGTGCCTTGTTACTTTTAATCACATTCATTAGCCCTAACCCTTTTTCCATCAGGACATTTTATTATACACTGTTGTTCTATCCAATTGAACCCTATTTTGCTCAATCATATTGCACGTATCGAAGCAACTTTGCCTTTGGAACTCTTCCTTGTCAACCAACTCTCAGCACTCAAAATAGTCTACTTAACATAAGTCCCACAAAAACAAACAAAGCCTGGGAGTAAACCAATGGAGATGGCCAGTAAGCACTAAAAAATCTATTAAAAAAACTTCACATATGAACCAATGGCGATACCAGTAAACAGGTCTAAAATGATATAGAGCTAAAATTACTTTGGAGTTATCGGATTAATGCCAAACAATCAAACTGATTGGACAGATAAACAAACCACTTGTTTATTGATTCCCACAAACCATCAATTAAGAAAGTTATTGGTTCACACATTCAAACCAACACATCAATATCAAATTGTAATAGTTGTTAAGTAGAGTTGTGTCTCTTGAGAAGAGCTATGTTTAGGAAGAGTTGTATCTCTTTAGAAGTCTAGGGTTGTGTCTGCAACTCTTGGAACTAATCCAAGAGTTATGCCTGTTATGAAAAGGTCTGAATGTTATTATCAATAGCCAATAAGATGGCCTAGTGGTGTAATCAATTTGAAATCAATAAAGTCAGTTATCAATAAAGCTTCAGTTTCCTGTTTTAAACTCTCATCCGTATTCTCTCATGTCCATCTTCCTCCAACAATTACTGGTTTGAAAAGATCCAAAGAGACGAGATGCGGCATCAGTGAAGGGAAAAGTGCATGCCAAAAACAAAAACAGATAGAGCATCACTGGATCAGATGACAATACAAATCATAATGTATTACAATGACGAGATGAAATGAGAAAGCAATCGTACGTAAATGATAAGCTGCATAAATTACCTGACTTTAAGTAACTAACATTTCAGTCGATTTTGCAAGTACAAGATCAACAAAAAAACAATACATCGCTACTTAAAGAAATACACAAGGGCATAGTTCATAAAATTTAACTAACCACAAGAAAACTTGTAATCATAAGTTACCTGGCACTAGGATGGATCAACAAAAACAAATCACAGACTGACAATCATACAACATTAATCTACAACAACTGCTTTCAACAGTTGGATATATAGCTATACAACATCCAATGTGCAAAATCAAATCAGCATACAAACCAGCCAACTACTTACTCATTTTGAGACAAAAAAAACATCCGGTTTCTTAGCTTTGCTCGGGGTGTTTGCATTAGAAGACGAATTAGCAGCCGCAGCAGTCTTGGCTGCCTCACGTGTCCTCTTATCAAGCTGAATGAGACTCTGGGTAGCCAAAATTGCCTGGGGGACCAAATCATGAGACGCCCGCGCATACAATCGCCTTACTGCAACAGAAGCCGCATCCTTAGCATCCTGAGAATTCAATGGGGCCAACAAACAATGCCTTAAAATTCGCAATGCAGGCTGCAAAAGCTCCCAAGGTAATGGAATTCTGGACCCCTTTGACTCCAAATGTACACCATTACTACCAGGTTTCTCAATTCTCATCGTCAACCGATCCATTTCTTCTGTCACAGCGCCGATCTCGTCGCTGTCCTCCAAGAACAATCCCAGATTCGTATCGGGCTCGTTGGTATCATCACCACCTAATTGTCGAGGACAAGAGCAATCCTGGCCGGCCCAGGAAGCTAGGAATCGAGAAAAGTCGATCTGGGACCAAGTGGGCATCTGGGAAATGTGCTTGTAATGAATCTATGTATGGGTACAAATATTACGTGTTATGTCTATAGTCGTTATTCATGGATTTTTCCAATGCGTCGTAAGTAGAAAGTTTTTCATCACTTTTGCACCCTTTGTCTCATGATTAAAACTATTTTTCATATGACTATTAAATTCTTCCAAAGTGATGGTGGAACTGAGTATATCAATTCCTCTTTTCAAACATTTTGTCCCAATAATAGCATTGTTCATCATGTCTCGTGTCCCCATACTCCTCAATAAAATGGTTTGGCTGAACACAACCATTGCCAAATCTCCACCATAACCCGTCTCCTCCTTACTACCTACAACGCCCCACTCACCCTCTAGATAGAGGCTGCCTTAACAGCCACCTTTCTTATTAATCTCCTCCCTTCTTCGGTTTTAGGTTGGTCTAGTCCTTATTCTCGCCTAATTGGTCGTCTTCTTGATTTTTCATCCCTACGTACCATTGGTTGTGCTGTTATCCATATTTAGAGGCTTATATTACTAACAAACTGGCATCTCGCTTTAAGGAGTATGATTTTGTAGGTTATAGCTTGCAGCATAAAGGATATCCATGCCTCGGGCCCACTCAAAACGAGTTTACATTTCTTGCCATGTTTTTCACAAGCATACGTTCCCTTTTAGTCGTGCTACAGCCGCAACTACATCTTCTCCCTGGTTTATTTTCCTTATTGAACGCATTTTTAGGTCTTCTTCATAATCTGATGCTCATTTTCTTGTTATCCCTGATGCACAGTAGTCATCTGCACCACCACCTCCTGTGATTACAACCCCATTCTCGCATCTCCTATTTCTATTTGATCTCCATCAGCTAAGGCCCGTCATCCCATGACTACTCGCTCTTGCAAAGGTCAATCTCGGCCCAAACATTTCACAGATCCATTAGCTAAAGCCCATCATCTCATGGCTACTCACTCTTGCAGAGGTCACTCTTGACCCAAACATTTCACAGATGGCACCATCAGATATCCCTTTCCTGTGGCCCTTGCTGCCACCGTTACGACTGGTTTTGTGGAACCCATTTGCTATTCTCAAGCTTTCATTTTTGAATGGCGTGCTGACATGAGTGAGAAGTTTAATGCTCTTCTGAAAAATGGTATGTGGTCTCTAATTCGCTCTCATCCGTCCCAAAATATGGTGGGTTACAAGTGGGTCTTCAAAGTTAAACGACGTGCAGATATGTTTATTGAACGTTATAAGGATCGGTTAGTTGCTAAAGGCTTTCATTAACAACAGGGATTTGATTACGATGAGACGTTTAGTTCTGTGGTCAAGCCTGTTACAATTCAGGTGGTTCTTAGCTTGGAAGTTCATCATGGTTAGTCCATTCATCAACTTGACGCTAAAAATATCTTCCTCCATGGTTACTTGAAGGATGATGTTTATATGTCACAATCCTTTGGCTTTGCTGATCCTTAACGTCCTTCATTTGATTGTAAACTTCACAAAGCACTCTATGGCCTCAAACATGCACCTCGGACTTGGTTTCACTAGCTTAGCTCCTTCATCGTATGCCATGGTTTTGTTCAAACCCAAGATGATGCCTCATTATTCACGTTTCAACACTCATCTTGCACTTTGTATTTACTCCTCTATGTTGATGATATTGTGTTGATCGGAAGTGATATAGTTATGGCTAACAGGTTTATAACTCTTCTTGGCCATGAGGGTTGATATTAAGGACCTTGGCTCTTTACATTATTTCCTTGCTCTTGAAGTCACCATCATGGCGCATGTTCGTCACCTCTCTGAGACGAAGTATGCCCTCGATCTCTTGAAGCATATTGCCATGATTGATTATAAACCCTCTTGACTCTCATTGCTTCCATGTCGTAATTATCTAACCTTTTTCTAATATTACTGAATTTCAACACTTACTTGGCTCTAATATCTCACCTTAACACGTGTCGACACATCATTTGTCGTTAATCATATTGCTTGGTTTATGTCAAGGCTTACAAATATACATCTCATTGCGAACAAATGTATTTTACACTACATCAAAAGCTCTCTTGATGTTGGTATTGTGTTTTGACGCTCTACTGGACCTCTAACTCTCCATGGTTATTCTAATGATGACTGGGCTAGTTATTCGGACATTCGTTGTTCCACTTCCAGCAATCTCATTTTTCATAAACCTAATCTTACATATTGGAGCTCAACTAAGCTGTTAACTGTCTACTATTCTAATGCTGATTAGAGTATCACACTCTCGCTCATGTTTGTGCTAAGTTTGTTTGGCTCTCCTATCTTTTGTGTGAACTTACTCACCCCACCCTGCACCATCACCTAACTTTTTTTTATTGTGATAATATGAACCAATGCGTCGTAAGTAGAAAGTTTTTCATCACTTTTGCACCCTTTGTCTCATGATTAAAACTATTTTTCATATGACTATTAAATTCTTCCAGAGTGATGGTGGAACTGAGTATATCAATTCCTCTTTTCAAACATTTTGTCCCACTAATGGCATTGTTCATTATGTCTCGTGTCCCTATACTCCTCAATAAAATGGTTTGGTTGAACACAAGCATCGCCAAATCTCCACCATAACCCGTCTCCTCCTTAATGCCTACAACGCCCCACTTACCCTCTAGATAGAGGCTGCCTTAACAGCCACCTTTCTTATTAATCTCCTCCCTTCTTCGGTTTTAGGTTGGTCTAGTCCCTATTCTCGCCTAATTGGTCGTCTTCTTGATTTGTCATCCCTACGTACCATTTGTGCTATTATCTATATTTAGAAGCTTACATTACTAACAAACTGGCATCTCGCTTTAAGGAGTATGATTTTGTAGGTTATAGCTTGCAGCATAAAGGATATTCATGCCTCGGGCCCACTCAAACCGAGTTTACATTTCTTGCCATGTTTTTCATGAGCATACATTCCCTTTTAGTCGTGCTGCAACCACAACTACATTTTTTCCCTGGTTTGTTCTCCTTATTGAACCCATTTATAGGCCTTCTTCACAATCTGATGCTCATTCTCTTGTTATCCCTCATGCATAGCAGTCACCTGCACCACCACCTCCTGTGATTGCAACCCTGATCTCGCATCTCCTATTCCTGTTTCATCTCCATCAGCTAAGGCCCGTCATCCCATGACTACTCACTCTTGCAAAGGTCAATCTCGGCCCAAACCTTTCACATATCCATTAGTTAAGGCCCGTCATCCCATGGCTACTTGTTCTTGCACAGGTCACTCTCGACCCAAACATTTCACAGATGACACCATCAAATATCCCCTTCCCGTGGCCCTTGCTGCCACCGTTGTGACTGATTTTATGGAACCCATTTGCCATTCTCAAGCTTTCATTTCTGAATGGCGTGCTGTCATGAGTGAGAAGTTTAATGCTCTTTTGAAAAATTGTATGTGGTCTTTAGTTCACTCTCATCGGTCCCAAATATGGTGGGTTACAAGTGGGTGTTCAAAGTTAAACAATATGCATATATGTCTATTGAACATTATAAGGCTTGGTTAGTTGCTAAAGGCTTTCATTAACAACAGGGATTTGATTAAGATGAGACGTTTAGTTCTGTGGTCAAGCTTGTTACAATTCAGATGGTTCTTAGCTTAGCAGTTCATCATGGTTGGTCCATTTGTCAACTTGACGCTAAAAATATCTTCCTCCATGGTTACTTGAATGAGGATGTTTCTATGTCACAATCCCCTGGCTTTGTTGATCCTTAACGTCCTTCATTTGATTGTAAACTTAACAAAGCACTCTATGGCCTCAAATATGCACCTTGAACTTGGTTTCACCGGCTTAGCTCCTTCATCATATGTCATGGTTTTGTTCAAAGCCAAGATGATCCCTCATTATTCATGTTTCAACACTCATCTTGCAATTTGTACTTGCTCCTCTATGTTGATAATATTGTGTTGACCGGAAGTGATATAGTTATGACTAATAGGTTTATAACTCTTCTTGGACATAAGGGTTGATATTAAGGACCTTGGCCTTTTACATTATTTCCTTGGTCTTGAAGTCACCATCATGGCACATGTTCTTCACCTCTTTGAGATGAAGTATGCCCTTGATCTCTTGAAGCATATTGTCATGATTGATTGTAAACCCTACTTGACTCTCCTTGCTACCATGTCGTAATTATCTAACCAGGATGGAACGCCTTTTTCTAATATTCAACACTTACTTGGCTCTAATATCTCACCTTAACATGTGTCAACACAGCATTTGTCGTTAATCATATTGCTCATTTTATGTCAAGGCCTACAAATACACATCTCATTGCGAACAAACGTATTCTACACTACATCAAAAGCTCTCTTGATCTTGGTATTGTGTTTTGACGCTCTACTGGACCTCTCACTCTCCATGGTTATTCTAATGATGACTAGGCTAGTTATCCGGATGTTTGCTATTCCACTTTCGGCAATCTCATTTTTCATAGACCTAATCTTACATATTGGAGCTCAACTAAGCTGCCAATTGTCTTCCGTTCTAGTGCTGATTATAGTATCACACTCTCGCTTATGTTTGTGCTGAGTCTATTTGACTCTCCTATCTCTTGTGTGAACTTCCCCACCTTACCCTACACCATCACCTAACTTCCTTTATTGTGATAATAAGATCACTAACATGGCCATCAATCTTGTCTTTCATGCTCAGACCAAGCACATTGAATTAAACTACCACTTTGTCAATGAGCATGTCAAATTTGGCAATCATTAAGTTCTTTTTATTCCTTTTGTTGATCAGCTCGCTGATGGTTTTACCAAAAGCAGACCATAGTGTTAGGGTTTTACCCTACATGTGGCAGCATCCTATTGGCCAATGTATATGGAGAAATATTCTCAAGATATTAAATAGGAAATAATATCTTAAGATAATGGAGTAATTATCCTTAATTGATTTAAATTGTGATTACTTACTTGATTGGAGTCAATCTTCAACTGGGAATGTATTAAAGATAAGATTTGGGTAATTAATCCTTATCTTTAATTC